CCTACCTTTCATGCTTCGATTAATTTTGGGTATATTTGGATGAATTTTGGGTATTTTGGCGAATTTTTTTCGGGTATACTGGTATACCACTACCCCCCCCCCCGGCCAACCCTGAGTAGTGCAACCCCTCAACTCTGGGATCACCATGGATGTTACAAGTATAACTGTCACTGCATTCAAGGTGGAAAAATTGCTCAAACAGTGTAACCATTCCTGGCAATTTTGTTAACATTAACATACTGTCTTGCATGCAGTGACAGGCTAGAATATAATGACTGAATACCAACAATCATTATTTGAGTCATATCATCAACTGAAGTAATCTTTGTTATCTTACTGTAAATTAAAGCGCACAGACTTATTGCGACACATTGTTGTCCAGCATTTTCCTCAAATACTCTAACGTTTCCTTGACAGTATGGAGCATGATATCAATACAAAGCTTAAATTCGCCAAAATTAACCCGGTGATTCAAACTGTTGTAGGCACTATACAGGGTGTTTCAAAAGTTCGTTCCGATTTTTTATTCGCTTAAATTTCACTAATTATTTAAAAAACGCTTATATAAAACTTAGTATGTTATTCATTATTCATTTAACATTGAATAAGTAAAATATTAGTAACCAGAATGTCTTCTTGTATGTTTTGTGACATTTTCTAAGCGGTGAGGTATAGAATGCACGAACTTCCAAAGCGTGTCCAAAGTCACGCTCTTCCAGGCGCAGCGTAGTAACTGTCGCAGCTCATCCAGTGTTTTGGGGGCTGGATCTTTGTATGTTGTCTCGTCTACGATAATCCAGATGGTCTCTATAGGGGGTTCACATCACGTGAGTTTGCCGGCCGGTCCTCCTTTGGTATTTTTCTGACACCATGCTTGCATGAAGTGTGCACCGCCTTTTTCTCTACAGGGCTTTTTTTGGTAACTTATACAATACAATAATAGAATAACTTTATTTAAAGAGGGAAGCGCAATAACCTATTACAGTTTTCTAACCTACGGCCCTCAAAAAATAGATAAATAGATAAATAAATTTAGAAGACTAAAAACAAATAAATTTATAAATATATATATACACACAAAAGAGACAATATTTAAAGTAGAATAGGCTATAAACACGTAATGAATAATATATAAATCGACGAAGGGGGGTAAAATATGTACTATAAATGAACATGTATACATATATACATAAATATAAATTAAAAGACGTGCTAGTGGTTGTAGTAGGACTATGAAAAACAGTGACAATGAATAGAATAGCGGCAAGTCGAGCACAGTAGATCCTCCAAGTGCTCGGCCGATGATAGGCGTGAGAAAAACAGACTTCGTAATTTAGACTTAAGAGAGGAGGGAAGAAATTTAAATATCAGTGGAGAAGAAGAAATAGAAAACTCTTTTAAGTCGGAACTGAGGTCATTAAGTAGAGAGAGGCTCTTGTAAAACGGCCCAGAGGTCCACGCGAATCATAAAGAAATTGAAATCTGTTCCTGAGACATTTAGGAGCATTCAGATTAAGGAGTACGATGAAAAGAAGAAAACGTTTCCTGTATTTAATAAGATCAAAAACGGGAATCCAGTTAAATTTTAAAAATAAAGAAATAGAAGCTTGAGAGAGGTCGGCATCAAGGAGTATACGCCCAGCACGCTTCTGAAGACGAAGCAGTCGTAAGAGGAGATGGTGGGAACAGTTACCCCAGGCAGCAGAAAAATAAATAAAGTAGTTGTTAACACAAGAATTATAGAATCTTAAAGCAGAATCAAAGTTAAGATAAGGTTTGATGCGACGGAGAAGAGAAAGCCTACTGCTAATGATGCAGCAGATTGTATCTTTTTTATTTTTTTTATTTTTATTTATTTTTGCCTTACAGACATATATTAAATGTTTACAGTACTAAACACTACTGAAACTAAATACTACTAACAATATTCACTATACTTGCACTATTTACAATATTGGCTATACTGACAATACCATCCATACGATGCTCGTACTACTAATAATTACAATGGTTACACTACTTACAATTCTAGTACATCACACACACACACACCCCCACACAAACACACACAAAAAAAAAAACAAAAAAAAACAAAAAAAAAA